GGTGGTGTGTGTCTGTAATCCCAGCTCTCAGGAGGCTGAGGCAGGAGAACTGTGAGTTTGAAGCCTGAGCTTGCACATCTTTTAAAAGATAGTCCATTGTATGTATGTGTTCTACATTTTCTTTATCCGTTCATCCATTGGTGGACACTTAGGTTGGTTCTTTACCTTGACTACTATGAATTAGCTGTTATAAACACAGAAAGGCAGATATTTCAACATGCTGATTCCAAATTATTTGGGTAAATATCCAAAAGTGGGATTGCTAGATCATATGGTAATTCTATTTTTAGTTTTTTGAGTAAACTTTATACAGTTTTCTGTAATGGCTGTGCTAACTTACATGTCTAGCAACAATGTACAAGAGTTCTCTTCTATCCATATCCTCAAAAACTTTTACCTTTCCTTTTGCTTTCTTTTTGGTTTGCTTTGGGATTTGTCAGGTTTTTCTGTGAGCTTACCACTGAACACAACCACCACACTCTGTAGTCCCTGTAGTCATTGTTTCTACCACAACTGTCAAGTTCTGAGTCTGCTCAACCCCCAAGCTCTTGCTTCAGTAAGTCTATCTCGAGCAACACTGATAATAATTGAATTAATTATGATACCACTGCATACCATGAATTACCAGTTTACCACTTTTCCATTGGCAGGGAGCTCAGCTACATTCAAAGCCAAGGACAACATGAAAGCACTAATTGAAGGTCTGTTTCCCATTACCACTCCTGGAACCAAGTATTAACCAGAAGCATTTCAACCAAAGATTTCATATACTGATTTCTTAGATAGTGAAGAGATGACAGAGCAAAAGGGAACATCAAGTTAACCTGGAAGTAATAACTGCAGGAACTAGCTACCATCTCCCAGAGTAGTGGGGATGAGTTTGAGGTCACCATAACCTACGAGCCAAGAAGAGGGAGTTTGCAAAGGTAGGCTTCATATCTCAGACAAGGATGTGACCCTTACACATTAGAGATTTTTATAAAAAGTCAGAATGATTAAAGTTTCTGTGAATGCCAGGAGAAAAAAAAAACTGAAGATGAAATCCATCTGCTGGGGCAACAAGCCACCCTGAGAGCAAATGCCACTGCTGGAATGATACAGAAGGACATAGACTGGAAGTCACTTCTCCCTCTCCAGGCCTTTGAGCCACCTCTGTTATCCCTCCTGACAGACTATAACAGAAAACCAGTTGGCAAAGGGGTATGAGAGATCTTTTCAGAGTCCCAGCCATAGCATCACAAAGCAGAACATAGTAGAGAGAAGTTGGGAGGTGATGGCTAAATGACAGCGTATGTCCCCACATGAAGGCACCATGTCTAGAAAAACCATTTGGAATGGAAGAGCCAAGCAAGCCTGTGCAGCCATTATACTCCTCATAGTCCAGTGAATTCCTGGTCAAATCACCACAATAATGGACAGTCATGAAGGCCTGCGAGCTGAGAGAAAATCATTTCACACAGATTGAAGTTGCTGATCCCCACAAAGCCTGAACCCCTAGCCAGATATTGGGTGTATAACTTGAGGTGAATTACGGTAGCATCCATGGAATAGGATCAACTTGCAATTGATAAGTTGGCTCCCTAAGACCCCATTCCTGTACTGAAGCCTGTGGCGAATTCTGCTGACCACCGACATATCTTCAGAACAAGGAGTTGTATCTATCTCTTGGTGGCACACATCAAGGTACGTATCCATTAAAACCAGTAATCACCTCCACGGAGTATTATAATTAGACAATGGAACCCCCTTTGTGGCTGTCAGTACCCACAGCACCAGGTGATCAAAGTAGAGCCCTCTCCTTTCCCTCTTTTACCTTCTCCTGGGACAGAGTTTGCTTCTGTTTCAGATAAAGATAAAGACTCTTTCTCTTCAGAAGGAAGAATGAGCAGATCGTGAAGGGTCCTAATTTCTCCTCTCCTGTAATACATCCCACTGCACGTGAAGGTCTCAACTGTCCCTTGTCATATTACCCTGGGAGGATTGGGATTTGAGGACCTGACTTGAGATGAAACTTTGGTGACTGTACGTGCCGTAAGTAATAAACTATCTTTAAGTGTGGCCTGCAGGTACACAGCTATAATCCTAGCACTCAGGAGGTAAAGACAGGACAAAAAAAGGTTCGAGGCCAGCTTGAGCTACATAGTAAAACCTGTGTCTAGAAAGATGATAGATAGATAGATGGATAGGTAGGTAGGTAGGTAGGTAGGTAGGTAGATAGATAGATGATAGATAGATAGATAGATAGATAGATAGATAGATAGGTAGACTATCTTGGTCTCTAAACCAGGACCTTGTGCTTTATATGGATAGAATCATGGGAGATCTAGTTTTCTTGTAAGTAGACTATGGCCTAAGACCCTTTGTTGTTTTTGACTTAGACTGTTTCTCCTTTTACATGTGGAAAGATGCCACACTCCACAAGGGTAAGATAAGCATCTAAGCACCCAAAAAGGGCTCACTTGAAATTTAAGTACTAAAGTACTCAGTTAGACAAAGAGGAAAATCTTGCAAAAATATAGGTATAACCCACAGACATAATCTTTGAGTTCCAAACAGTTTAGCAGAGACATAGATCCTATAAAAATTCTTCAACATACTAAGACAAATATTGAAAATACAGGCTTTGGAAGTATTTTATTTCTATAAGATTTTACATCTCAAGAACATAAAAAAATAATATGGATATAAAAAATGTTATCAATACAATCAACAAATTACATTCAATTTATACGTAATTAGAGCTGTGTACCCTATAACAAAAGTCACCCTCTCTTCTATCAACAGAATATTTGAAAAGCCAATCCAGAATAGAGCATAAAGAAAACGGTTACAGTGAAATCTCCCAAGTAGAGATTTTAAAGGATTCACTTTCTGATAATACTTCAGTAAAGTCAGAAATTTTCAGTCTAAAGATGATCAAAACACTTAAACCACACGGAAGTGAAGAAAACTTTTTTCTAAACATATCTTGGAGCACAAAAAAGAAATCAAAATTTTATCAGAAGCAATTATCTCCACCAAATCTTCAAGATGTTCCTTTATGAGAAAGACACGAATTACCAATTTTGGGAATTAGAAAGGCAATTTTACTACAGAGTAAAAATATACTTTAAAGTATTTTAAGGGAACATATTGTAAGCACTTTTGAGTAATAAATTTGACAAATGAGATGAAATGATCAAGTTTCTTCAAAGACAAAAACTCCTGAAGCTCACTCAAGAAAAGATATATACTCTGAATACCTGTGTCCATGACCTCTGTTCTTTACTATGACCATGTCCTGTAATAGGCTCCTCCACTTCAAAACATGTTCTTTTAGAAACAGCCCTTTTCCAGTCCCACCACTGCAAGCTGGGTGAATTCAGGTAAGGATAATCCAGATTTTCCTGCTTTTCCAAAGCATGACCAAAAAAGTATTTTCCTCAGATTCTTCAATTTAGAAAGGGTCAAGGATCTCTCTCATCATTAGGACATGGAGAGAAGCCATTCAAAAAATTAGAACAGATTTTTATGCTTGTCAGGAAGTAGTAAAGACTTTCTTTTTTTTCTAGGTTAAAAAAAAGAAAACAACCATCAGTGGTCTGCCATCGTGGTGCGTGCATTAGGCCCGGCTTCTTACCATGTCTTCTCACAAGACTGTCAGAATCAAGTGATTCCTGGTCATGAAACAAAAGCAAGATTGTCCCATTCCCCAGTGGATTTGGATGAAAACTGGTAACAAAATCAGGTACAACTCTAAGAGGAGACACTGGAGGAGAGCCAAGCAGGGTCTGTAAGGAACTGAGAGACAGCACACACACTTAGGTTCTTCTGTGGTTGGTGACTGTCTTGGCATCAAGCTGGCATGTCACACTGCCTGGACAGTTGGGTGTTTTAAATTGGAAATCTGATTCTTCTTTGATTACCTTAAGGATGGTGTAGTAATAAATATGTGAAACCTTTTGAACTGCAAAAAACAAAATCAGTTATAGAATACCCTCTGACAACCTGGGCAGCATTCCATAGTGAGAAAGCATTGCGATGAATATGTTAGGACACAGTCATCAAAAAACAATTTGGAAAAAGCCCATCACTGTCCTAGACACTTCACCTGGTGCATCCAGAAGAGAACAGTCTTTTCATTCACATGACAGACCTGCTTCTTCCTCCAGTGAGGTCATCAATTCCAGGAGAGGAAAGCCAACAATCTCCTGTACAGTGGTCCAGGGACTTTTAGGACCAGGTGGCAAGAGTGGAAAAGTGGCAAAAGCAAGATGGATGAGGCTGATTCTGAAGGGCACACCAGGGTTTTGCATCCCAAAGGCAGATCTAAATGCTGGGCAGACAGACAATGCCCAGATTTCCAGTGCCCCCATGGTGCTTGTCAAAAGTAACATCCAAAGTTACGCTCCTTTGGTAGGGGGATTCTGGGTGACACTGGGCAGCATCCTATCTGATCTGTATGATCTATTTGAGTCATATTATAAGTGACATAAACTGCTGCAGGTCAACTCTGTTATCACTGTCACGGGCAAGTAACTTTCCCTGTATGGACATGTGTTTACTGCCATTTATTTCCACATGCTTTGTTCCTTGGGGCTTCATATATGAGGGACTTTGTCCCTACTCATAGAAACTTCACAGTCCAGTGCAGACAGACACACAAGTAAAGAGAGAGCACAAAGGTAGAGAGTGAGGACTGAGGCAAGGATGGGACCCTGATGAGGGAAGCCAGCAAGATATCCTACTGTAAGAGTTCTTTCTCCCCATATTTCCAAATGGTTCATTAAAGCCTGTGACTTACAACCCTCTCCATAGCCTCCCAGTGCCAGTATCAGATGACTAAATGGATGCACCAGCCAACAGATGAATGTTTCACATGAGCACGTTTTTCTCTATCTGTCTGGTTCAGTGCCCATCCCTCTGCCCCCACTGCAGAGAAACCAATAAAACTCTTGATCAGATTCTCACTGTACACAGTGTTCTGGACTCCTGTATCTACCGCCTCCTACTTCCCAAGGACCATGAGACTTCTGCTGCTGGCTCTCCCTGTCCTTGCATTCCTACCCCAAGTGATTCCAGGTAATCAGAAGCCAGGGAAGCTACAGAAGCAAAGATAAAATGGGCTCTGGCCCATGGAATGCCAGAGTGTAGCTGCTCTCTCCAACCCAAGCAGCTCCACAGGTCCCACAGAGGGACTATGTCCTTGCAGGAGTTAAACTTGATGTAGGACAAGTTGTCCTCAACAGACAGAGGCAAATCCAACATCCAGAGATGTCCTTGGCTCCAATTTGCCATCTAAGGAATCAGATGAGAGTTTGCCTCCCTGCAGCTCTCTTTCCAGGCTGTGATTCCAGGACCCAATCCCTGTGTCTTCTGGGCCCTGAGAGTCTCTTTCTGCTGCTGTTGGTGGTTTTTGTTTCAGAGTGGGAAGGCAGGACTGAGAGTTGAACTCGGGGCTTCATGTTTTCTTTATCACTTGAGCTATGCCCCAAGTCCTGAAAGTCTTGTTATAGCTTTCAATTCTGTCTTTTTTGTTTTCTTAAAGTCTGGAACTTGATGAACAGGTCAGAAAATATCTGCAGAGCTGTTATGTAGAAGATAGAACTGACTTTTCCTCTCCCTTCTACAATGAAAGCCTAACCTTGATAAGCACTGCATTTTAAAGTATATCTGAAGGCATGGCCAAACTTGAACTTGTGCTGAAGAGGACTTGGTTCCCCCTTTCTTGTTTATTTTTTCAAGACACATTTCAATGGTATGGTCAAACTCACAAAAAATGAATCAAAGTATTTTTGTTTCATAAAAAAAGTAAGCACACTGGAGTGGGGAGGGGGCTCAGGGGAAGAGATGATGGGGGCAATATAAATAATGCACAATGTAAGTCTAATCAGCATTGTTACTATGAATCCCCCTGCCCCCATATAATGAACATACCTTAATTTTTTAAAAAAGGAAGCACACTACCCACATAGCTAGGGACACCCTTCTTTCACTTAATATCTTGTAGCCATCTTTCCATGGCCACACCTAAAGCTCTGCCCCCTTCTTTACAAAACAATCAAAAAGTTTGTTTATAGATTGGGAAAAGCCATTACTTTATGTCTAGTCACTTGGGACATTTCCTAACATATATCAGTCAACATACTTATACATATTTGTGTACATATGCATATTTTGGCAAGAATTTATACAGGATATATTCATAGAAGTGAAATGATCAGGTTAAAGGCAGATTTAAATTTATCGCTGCATTAATTCTTCCCTTGCATATTTTTCAGGATACAGCCAGCAGAAATTGTCAGCTTTCAGAGTTTTGTAATTCTCCAATTGCAATTGAAGATATAATTGCAGACAATTCTTTCCACTCCCCCTTTTTAAAAATTTTTGGTGGTACTGGTGTTTAAATTCAGGACTTTGTATTTGCAAAATAGGAGCTCTGCCACTTGAGCCACACCTCCAGTCTATTTGCTCTGGTTAGTTTGAAGATAGAGTCTTGAGAACTATTTTCCCAGCCTGGCCTTGAACCTCAATCCTCCCATCTCAGCCTTCCAAGAAGCTAGGATTACAGGCATGAGCCACTGGCACCCAGCTAGAATCAAGGACAATTCTGTCTGATCCATATGTCACCAGTTGTTGTGTCTGCTCTGAGTTCTGGTGGGGATATTGAGACAAGGAAAGAGACAAATGAGAAGGATTTTACAAAACCAATCCATGGGTCATAGAAACTCTGAGCATATGATGTGTGAAGGAACTATTTATTACATGATCTGGGGTGTAGAGTACGGGTGTTCTGTGAGAGACACAAATTTCCTCTTGGTGGGAAGAGGTGAGACAATGAAAGAAACAAAGTCTTTCTTCTTTATCTTGGACAGCCCCTACATTTAAGAAAAAGGAATAACAATCCGGGCACTTGTAAGGACAGGAAGATCTCCATACTCTCTCACCAAACAGGGCACAAGGGATTTTTCTATCACCACATAATTCCTCCAACACTCAGTATTATTTTTACCAGTCTGTTGGGTTTGAAATAATATCACACTGTTATTTTAATATATATTTCTCTCATTATCCTGTGATCAGAATGTATAAAAGTCTCCTTTGTTGGGTATCTTTTGTGTGTGTGTGTGGCACTGGGGTTTGAACTCAGGGCTTCACACTTGCTAAGCAGGCTCTCTACTACTTCAGCCACTCTGCCAGTCCTATTTTTTGTGCTGGGTATTTAAAGATAGGGTCTCACAAACTATTTGCCCTGGCTGGTTTCAAACCTTGATTCTCCTGATCGCTGTCTCTCAAGTAGCTTGGATTACAGGCATGGGTCCCTGGAGCCTGACAAAAGGCTCCCTTTTAATGACCTTCATGACACTATGGAGACTTGACTCCCACTATGCTTTCTCCCATTGCTCTCCACCTAACTTGTTCTATACTCATCCTAGCCACCTTGTTGTTTCTCAAAAAATTTTGAGGTAGCTCTTGCCATTGGGCCTTTGCACCTGCTGCTTCCTCTTCCTGGTACACTCTTCCCTCAATTTTTCTCATAGCTCATTCTTATTCCTTCTCAGTAAAGTCTTTTACCACTTGCCTTTGATCACCTACTCCTACCCTTCCACCTGTTTCATTGCTTTCTGTAATACTTATCTGTATCTAACTGTGTGGAGCCTAAAGTATATTTTACTTTCTTCTCCTACTTACTATCTTGTCTACTGACTGAAATATCCATGAGCACAGGAATTTTGGTCTATTTTTTAATGAATGTAACTGCCTGCATCTTGAGCAGTCCTGGTACACAGTAGGCACCCAAAAAAGAATTTTTGAATGTTTCAACCAATACAAAAAACATTTCAGTGTACCCTTTCTTGGGACCCCTCCCAGCTCTGGGAGCTCTACTCTTTGCTACTTTTCTATCTTAATAAACTCTCTGCTTTACTCAAGAAAAATCCAATAAAAATGACTGTTTCTGCTTCTGTTAATTGCCTGTTTTTCTCCCTTACCCATTATTCAACTGGGCAGTTGCCTGTCAGTAATGTGTGGGAGTTCTTTATCTACTTGTGATATTATTCTTTAGTCAGCTTTAGCTGCTAGGTATATTATTCCCCAATCTGTCATCTATCTGTCTGTGGTATACAGGTCAATGTTATGTCCTGCATGACAGAGAAACACTCCATTCTGCTCATATCAAATTCAACCATGTTTTGCCTTGGACATTGTGCTTGGTGGTTTTATTGAAGAAGTCCTTTCTCCATGTTCATGTGCCAAAGAGATTCTCTGACATTATCTTCTGATAACTTTTTACGTTTGCTTTTCATGTGTAGACTTTTAAGCCACCAAATGGAACTCATAGATCCATCTTGTTTTCCAAGCACAACATAATAAAAATAGTCTCTGCTTTCTCCCTTGATTCATGGTGTCATTGTTACTGCATGTATCTGAGCTCTCTGTTAAATTAGCATGGTTTTATAGTAGGTCAGTGTCTAGAAAGACAAGCTTTTGTCTTACTTTTTAAAGTAATCTTAGTTGTTAGTACTCTTTATTCTTCATTATAAATTTTGAAGTAAAATATTCACATCTCCCAAAACTCCCACTAGGGTTTTGATTAGAATTATATTAAATTTCTTTATCACTTTAGGGGACAGTGACGCCTTATAATAATTAAGTCATCCCATCCAAGAGTACATCTTGTGTTAGAGTTTTAAAAAATACTCCATAGAAGTCTTGGGCAATCTTAGTCGAAAACAAGATGTTTCATAGCTATGCTATGTTATTTTATTATATCTTGTAATTAGCTATTATTGATGTAGAGAAGTGCTGTTGATTATTGTAAATTGATATTTCATATGACAGAACTACTTAACTTTTAATAATTATAATAATTTGTTGGTTCCTGTTGAGGATACAATCATGACTGCTAAAATGAATGACAATTTTATCTCTTTCCTTCCAATTCTTATATGTTTGTTTTATTTTTGTTCCTTTTCTTTTTAGCATTGACCAGGTCCACTACTATTATTTAAACAATAGTAATAGCAGAGAGTATTTTTGTTGTCATAATCTCAATGGAAATTAAAGTTTCTCCATCAGATGTCAGCTTCTGAATTTGATACATTACTTTCATCAAATTAGGGGAAATTCCTTCTATTCTTGCTTTGCCCAAAATATTCATTACAAACAAGCAATAAACTTTATTGAATCATTTTTCTGCATCAAGATAATTTATATTATTTGTCTCCTTAATTCTAGAAGAGTGATGAATTTCATTCATGGATTTTCTAGCATTGGATGATATTTTGCATTTGGGGTTAAACTCTAAATGATTGTGGTGTATTTCAATACGCTTGAACTCAGTTAGCTAAACTTTATTTTGGATATTTTTTGTCTGTATTTATAAAGAAATAGTTCTACAACTTTCTGGTTTTAAACCAAGATTAACGTAATTTCATAAAATGAGCCAAGTAGCTTTCCTTTCTGCCATCCTCCCCTACCACCATCACCACCCCTACTTTCTGGAACATGTTATACAAAGTAGTACTTAAGACTTCTGTGAAATTAGAACTCACCTTTAAAGAATTTTTGAATGGTGAAATTAGAACTCACCTTTAAAAACATCTAGGACAGCAGTGTTATCCAAAATAGCTAAAAGGTGGGCATAGCTCAATATCCATCAGCAGATGAAGGGAAAAATGAAATGTGGTTTTTATATGCCATGAAATGTTATTCATCCTTTAAAGGTAAGGAAATTCTGATGCATGCTAATATAAATGAACCTTCAAGACATACTAGTGAAATAAGCCAGTCACAAAAGCAGTGCTATATGGCTTCAAGCATATGAGATACTTTGTTAGATTTATAGACAGAAAGTAGAATGGTGGTTAGGAAGGGCTGGAGAGGGAGAGGAATGGGGACTTCCTGTCTAATAGGTACAGAGTTTCAGGTCTGCAAGATGAAAAAAGTTCTGTGAATGAATGATAGTAATGCTAACAATATGTAAATTACTTATTGCCACTGAGCTATATACGCTTCAGATGGTTAGGATGGTAAATTTTATGCTGTGTGTATTTTACCACAATTTGGGAGAATCCAGGGATGAGACTTTTAGGAAAGAGAGCTTTTCACTGCTACTTCAATTTCTCAACACTTACGGATTTATTAAAATTATACTTTTACCTAGGCCATGCCTGTAATTTTTAAGGAATTTACTCACATCATTTAGGTTTCCCATTTTATTATTGTATAGTTATTGATAATTCTCTTCTGTAAGTTTTAATATGCTGTGTCTGCCCTATTTCACTATGTCAGCATGGATTTTATTTTTTATTGTCCTCTTTTTTTTTCCCTTAATCAGTCTTTCCAGATGTCTTCTGATTTCATGATTTCTGACTTTATCACTACTTCTTTTTTCTAAGTTTTATTCTTTACCATGTTATTTAATTTCCAAACATAAGTGATCTTTAATCCTAATTTTGTTGAATTTGGTTGGAAAACATAGAAGGCAGGATGCTGAGTACATCAGTCTGATCAAGGTTTTTACAGCCTGATATTTTGCTATAGAAAGTGTAGTCTACAGACTAGCAATATTGGGCTCACATAGAAATTTGTTGGAAAAGCAGAAATGCCTCTGCAGATTTCATAGGCACATCAGGGTTTAAGAGACATTGGCCTAAAAAAAAAATAAAAAGAATTAAAAAAAAAAAAAAGAGACATTGGCCTAATACCCAAGCGAGCATCTCACAGGAATACCCCCACTCTTCTAAAGTGCTATCTAATGTCCTTCTTGATGGGGTGCAAGTACAAAGACGTTCACCTTATATTAGTCTTTATGCTGCTCAGCTACAACACTCACAGGTATGCTTATTTTGTGGTAGAATGTATTCAAAGAAATTTAACCAATACAAAGAACTCCATCACTGTACCTAGATGAATTTCTTTATGTGGGTAGCTTTACAAAGGCCCAGGTCATTTCATTAGAAACAGCCCCAATTCTTATGACCAGCAAGTTTCTTTACAATGATGACAAAAGTACCTCACCATTAGAAAAGCTAAGCATGGGAGGTGGGAGGTCAGGAACTGACATTATTGGGCCTAAGCTGGGAGGACTCTTATGATGACCCTGGATATTATTATGGGATGACAGATATGCACTCATATAGTAACAAGAGAACATCAGTAACATACAATCCTTTTATTATTTAGCTTATCGTGGTGAAAAAAAATGCTGGAACAAATCAGGACACTGCAGGAGAAACTGTGAAGCAGAAGAAGTGACACAGGAAACCTGTAAAAATCATCGCGTCTGCTGCATTCCAGCTAATAAAGTCCCCAGCAACAAGCATCCTCCCATGACAACTATACCAGCCTTTCACAATTCACCATCAGATTTTACAAATGCAATAGAAACAGTCACCACTATAGACTACTTTGAAGTAAATGACAAGGAGCCAGGGACTCAAACCCCTATCCCAGAGATTCGTCATAGTTCATGATTTCTGGGATTCCCCTCACCTATGTCCTGAGACCAGTGGACTGACTCCTATAGATCAGGCACTGAAAACATCCCATGACCTACCCTTACCCCCCCCCATACCAATGTGTAATTCTAGATAAAAAACAGCTGTGTAAAGCAATCTAAAATGTTCACTATCTCCAATGATAACTCTTCAATGCTCTCTCTTCTTGAAATATCAAGTAATTTCCACAAGATTTAACCCACTTTTAGTACTCCTTATTTTCTGGGGACCTATGTGCAGCCTTAATCACTTAGGGAAGTATTCAAACACTGATATTTCCATGTGGTCTTCTGTCTTCCCAACAAGTGTTTTGGGATACCAGAGGTGTTCCTTGTGTTAGCCCTGCCTTTGGATGAAAGAATAAGTGGTTGAAATCAAAATTCAAAATCCTTGCATCCTGACAGTAGCTACTAAGACATAAAAAAGCTTTCTTTACAAACCACCAGGTACCTCACATGAAAGCATCCAATTTCCTACCAACTGAAGTTAGTCAGTTAGGCCCTGGAGCCCTGTCTTATTTCTCACTTGCAGGAAATCAGTTGGCTCAGGTATAAGTCTGAGGGCTCCTCTTTTGGCCCAGTTTTTCAAGACTGAAATAAAAGCCATTGAAAGGCTGTTTCCATAGGCCACTTTCCTTGACCAAGCCTTGATCACAAGAAGAGTACCTGCTTTCACCTGTCGATAATACTCTTAGTCTTGCCTTCTTGCAATGTGAAACATGCTCAAGAAGTTTTGCTGTATATTTTAACTAAGCTTTTAAGCTATTTCAGTGAGATGGTCAGCCTGTATTCTTCAACCATTTTCCTTTCAGAAATAAAGGTCCAGAGACAGCATTTTTGTTGTATAAGAGGATGGAAGGCAGCACTGAAAGAAGGAGAAAAGGAGATTATCATCAAAGGATGAAACCATTGCTCAATGTCTAATACCACAGTACAGGAATGATCTCTTCATTGAATACATGAAAGCCATGCTGGTCAGGCACAGACTCACTGGACAGCAAAGTGTTGAACTTACATAGCATTTGGCAGAGCCTATGGAGGAATCTGTGTTGGTTATACATGTGGGAATGGGTTGATGACAGTGTGCACTGAAGTGAATTCAGAACAGATGGGAAAAGCATTTCAAAGAGTAATGTCACTGGCAACTTCTTTTCAGCAGTGTGTTCACTCAAGACAGTTGTCACTGATCAGTGAAAAAAGTTTAAAACATTTCAAGAGATTTATTTGTTATCACAGCTATAGAGCTATCATTCTAGGAATGTGAAGACTTTTTAATTCTCAAAAGAGAAAAGTAACTCCAGAAGACTCAACGGGACAGATGACAAAAAAAAAGGAAGTACAGAAGACAAAAAAGAAGGAACAGCACAAAAGTTAGGAGGAAAGCAAAGAAAGAGTAAAGTCACGGGAGCCAAGCAAGTTAAGAGTTACGAAGAGGGAATAAGCTGTGATGGAAATGCTACCCAAAGGCAATATCCCGAAACTTCCAGAAAGGTGGTCCACTGGTGATTTGGACCACAAGAACAATTCCACAGAACATAGAACAGTTCCATGGAGCAGTCAGCACAAAAGTAAATTGTAATGAGTTGGGGAAGAGTCAGAAAAGTAAAGAAAGAAAATGGCCAAAGGTAGCTACTCAGACAGGAGCCAGTGGCTCATGCTTGTAATCCTAGCTGCTCAGGAGGCAGAGATCAGGAGGATCACAGTTCAAAGCCAGCCCTGGGCAAATAGTTCATGAGATCCTACTCTAAAAAACCCATCATAAAAAAGGGCTGATGGAGTGGCTCAAGTGGTAGAGTCCTGAGTTTAAACCCCAGTACTGCCCCAAAAAAGGTAGCTACTCTCTTTTTGACAAAACTTGGAAATAAAGAGAGAGAAAGTAAGAAGAAACTAGAGGAAAAGCAAGACACAAAAAATAAAATTAGAATTTTATATTAAAAAGCTGGTGTTGGTGGTATTTGGCAGGAAAAGCCTTCTAGCTTGTTTCAGGAATTAAAGCATCTTAACAATCATGACAAAAACAGCAGGTAATATTTCAATTCCTTCTTGTGATAGCCACCAAACAGGTCAACAACCTCGCAAGCTGAAACGTTGACAAGACAGCTTATTTCACATTCCATCAGCTCTGTTAGATATAAGTTCTTCCATGAACTTAACCAAATTTGTCAACAAGAACTCCACTCACTGCCCTACACGTCCATCCCATTGTGCTGGTCCTCTGAGCCCTACTCAGTACAGATTAAGTTAGGACTCAACCTTCCTGCACAGGTCTCCACTGAACTCTGCCCCCATCTTCAATGGCTATTCTACCTCCTCTCTAACCCTCACTCCAGAGTTCCAGCCTTTTGTCCCATAGGGCTACATCCAAAATGGGACAGACATCTTACCGTGCAGAACCCAGTCTCTCACTGTGATTTCCAGTGGATGAAAGACAAAGGTGGCAAATGCATGAATTTTAATGGGGAGGGTTTTCCAGAAAGTTTGAGGATGGTGATCACCAGCATTCAAGGTATTTTTGGCCACTGTTTCTCATAAGACCAGCCAGTACTGTCAGCTTTGCTGGAAAGGTTTATCCTCATGTAGGACTGGAGGCAGCATGGCTGATAATTTTTGCAATACAAGTAGGGCTGTTCATCCTTTTTGCAAGAGGGTCGACAGACTCCATTGTTGCCCATGCATCGAAGGATCTGTCTACCTGGCCAGGAAAAGAAGAAAAAGAATTAATTTCCACTTAACAGTGACATAGATCTGAAGAGTCAGGGAACATAGTAAAAGCCTAAAGGATTATCACAACCACCACTTCCAGGAAAACAGAGTAAATGTCCTTTTCTCTACTTGTCCTGCTAAGTACGGCTTAAAACCCTATGCATTATACCGAAAACAAGTATAAGAATACTTGGAAAGTGAAGAAAAGAGTGAACCTCAAGACCTGAGGAATGACAGCCACGAATTCCTTCAACCTTCCCCCACTGGGCTTGTTTTTCCCTTGTCTATCCCAGGCTGATTCTGGGGAAGCTGGTAATCTGGAAACACAAATGGGTGCAGATATAAAAGTTCCAAAAAAGCCTGCTCTCTCCAACCAAAAGACCAGGAAAGGGGCAGCCTTGTAAGACAGAACATTTTGAGAATAACCACTCTGCTCCAGTCACACACCACAGAAAAAACCACAGCCCTTTCCACGCTGTAAGGAGGTGTATCCCCCCAGGTGGTGTCAGAGAGGGCTGAGGGGAACCTGACAGGACCCACCACCACCACACAGTATTGATAGAAATCACGTGGGCAGCCTCACTTCCCCTGAATTGTTGAAGGAAGGCTCCGTCTTCATGACAAGGTGATAACAGGAGGTCTAGTGGGAAGTCAGGATTTTCACCATCCTGCAGCAGTTACAGGGTCACCTGGAGACCACACTGGGAACAGAACATCCCTTCCAAACAGGGTAGCATGAGAGGAGGCATACCTGGGAGCTAAAATTCCCACCTGCACCTGCAGTAATGAGGAGCCACCTCCCCCCTCCACCTCCATCTCAGAAGAAGCCCAGGGGAGAACCTGGATTTCTACTCCCTCCTGGAAGAGTCAAGGCCAGCCTGCATTCCAGTGTTGGAGTAGGCAGGGTAGGACCGAACACTGGAGCATGAGCTAGAATCTCATAACATAATACCAAAAGGGTCCAGATTTCAATCAAAAATTACTCAGCAGACTAAGAACAAGGAAAATCTCAACACAAATGAAAAAAAGGACAATCATGCAAACCTGAGATCTGTTCAAGTTGTTACTTCATTCCTGGGCAAGTGACTCAAATGCTGAGCCACCATGAGGCCCTGAGTTCAAACCCAGTACCACCAGTAGTTCAATCACCTTTCATTCTGAACAGTACTCCACAGTATGCAGGTGCACCGTTTATTTAAGCCTTTGCCTACTGATGTGCCTCTTGATTGTCTGCACTTTTGATCATTAAAAATAAAGCTGCTGTGAACATTTGTTTACAGGTTTTTCATGGACATAAATTTTCATTTTTCTGGGCTAAATGCTCAAGAATGTATTTGCTTGGTAATATGATCAGTGTCTATTTCATTTTTTTAAAGAAATTGCCAGACTATTTCCCAGAGTGGTTGTACCATTTAACATTGTCACCCACAATGTAGGTAGCTTCTCTGCATCCTTGACAGCATTAGCTATCATCACTATTTTTAATTTTAGCTGTTTTGTTGTATATAGCTATACATCCAGCCCCTTTTGCACTGGTTATTTTGGAGATAGGGTCTTGCTTTTTGCCAGGGCTAGCCTGGAACCACAATCCTCCCAAATTCAGCCTCCCTTGTACCTTGGAATGGCAGGCATGCACCACTTCGCCCGGCTATTGATTGAGATAGGGTCTCTCAAAATTTTTGCCCAGCTGGGCTCAAACCACGATCCTCTGAATCTCAACCTCCCAAGTCACTAGGGTTACAAGTGTGAGTCTCTGGCACCCCACTCCATAGGATCTTTTGCTGAGTGAAATTTATTTTAAATTTTGAGAAAGTACAATTTATCAATTTCTTCTTTTGTGGATTGTGCTTTCCATATCTAAGAACTGTTCACCAAGATCTAGGTCTGAAGGTTTTTCCCTACATTTTCTTCTAGAAGTTTTATGATTTTACATTTTACTATGATCCATTTTCAGTTAATTTTTGTCGAAGATGTGAGGCAAGGTTTAGGTCAAGAGTTTTTGGTTTTCTTTCTTTCTTTCCTGTTCAATTGCTCCAGCACAATTTGTTGAAAAGAAAAATTTTCTTCCATTGAATTACTTTTGTACCTTTGTCAAAAATCAGTTAACTGTCCATATATGGTAGCCTAGTCCTGTAATGCTACTCAGAAGGTAGAGACTGGGAGGATCGTGATTTCAGGCCAGCTCAGGCAAGAAGTTAGCAAGACCCAGTCTCAAGCTAGATGTGTTGCTATATGTTTGCAATCCCAACTACTGTGAGGCATAGATAGGAGGATTGCCGTCCAAAGCAAGCCCCTCAGAAAAAATGTGACTCCCTATCCAAGCAATAGCTAAAGCAAAAGACTGGGGGCATGGGTCAATGTAGAGGGCTCGCCTAGCAATCTCAAGGCCCTGAGTTCAATTCCCAGTACCTCCAAAAATAAAATCAGTTGACTGATAAGAATGAAATCATGTCATTATCAGGAAAATGAATAAAACTGGAGCTCATCATGTTAAGCAAAATAAACCAGACTGAGAAAGACAGATATCACATGTTCTCTCTCATATGAAGAATCTAGACTTTATTGGGGTTTGAACTCACCACTTGAGCCACTCTGCCAGCCTGAATCTAGACTTTTAAAAAATAAATGACATAAGAGTAAAAGGAGGAGTGTTTGGGGGGCAGGAGTCACTAGGAGGGGAAGGGCAAAAGAAGAGAGTGTTACTTGGAAGGCTGAGATCGGGAGGATCAAGGCTCAAGGCCAAAAAGTTCCCAAGACCCCATCTCCAAAATAACCAGAGCAAAATGGACTGGAGGTGTGGCTCAGCAGTAAAGAGCCTGCTTTGCAAGTGCAAAACCCTGAGTTCAAATCCCTGTCCCACAAAAAAAAGAGGGCGAAAGAGGGTGAATATGATTGAACTATTCCATGAATGAAAATAGAATATTGAAAACTGTTTTTAAAAGGGGAAGAAAAGGGAGAATAAAGAAAAATAGAAGAGGTGAATTTGATCACAGCCCATTATATGTATGTTTATATCACTTTGAAACCCCTTCTTACAATTAATATATGCTAATTTAAATAATAAATAAACCAATCAGTTGTCAGCACTTGTGTGGGACTGTCTCTAGTTTCCCTATTCTGTCCCATTGATCTATGTGTATCTGTCTCCACCCACATCCCATACTGTCACCATACAAGTCTTGAAATCTGCTAGAATGATTCTTCCAACTTTAATCTTTTTTCATTTTATTTTAGGTATTCTTGTTCCTTTGCAAATTTCTCTTCAGACAAGATGATAAAACCATATTGTCTACATCTATTAAAAGTCTTGCAGGGGGCTGGGATGTAGCTCAGTGGTACAGCACTTGCCTAGCATGAGCGAGGCCCTGGGTTCAATACCAGCACCAAAAAAGAAAAGACAAAAAAAAAAGTCTTGCTGGGAGTTTGATAGGAATTGTTAGGTGTATATATCAGTTTAAGAATTTCCATGTTTGCTACCTAAGTCTTACAAATTCAAACACTGTGTGTCCCTTTGTTTATTTAAATCTTTTTATTATTGTATATTAATTGTACAAAGAAGTTTCACTGTGGTATTTCACACATGCATATATTGTACTTTGATCAGATTCACCCCTACCTTGCTCTTTCTTTTCCCTGTCGCCCCTCCCTCCCTGTGTCAACAGCCTCCAGTGGGGTGCCTTGTGCCACCTTCATACATAGACATAATGTACTTTGATGCTGCCTACCCCCGTCATTGTCTTATTTCCATCTTATTTACTGCTTTTATCAGTGTTCTGTGGCTAGCAGCAAACAATTTCTGTCCAATTTTAGATATACAGCTGATCATTTGATTTTTGGAGTGTTTTGAATGGTATTGTGTTTTTAACTTCAGGGTTCACATGTTCATCACTGCTATATAGAAATCCAATTGATTCTTGTATGATTATCCTGTGGCCTTGCTGAACTTGGTAATAGATGCTTTGCTTTTTCATTTTTGCTTTTGTAGATTCCTTGAGATTTTCTACAAAACCATTATGACATTTGTAGGCATTATGACTACCTACAAATTAGGCAGTTTTATTTCCTCTTTTCTAATCTGCATGCCATTTATTTTCTTGCCTTAATGCACTGGCTAAAACAACCCAGAATTAAAAGGAGCAAACTGTCAATACGCACAACTTGAACAGATTGCAAGAATATAATGCTTAGTTTTAAAGACCTCCAAAGTTCACATCTGCTTCTATTTCTAAATAGAAAATGACAAAGTTATAGTGTAACCAGTGGTAGACTACATGCTAGCATGTGCAAGGTCCTAGGTTTGATCCCCAGATTACCCCCCAAAAAAATTTTACAGAGATAGGAAAGAGGTTAGTGGTTAACAGCAGTTAACCATAGAAAGCAGGATGATGATAAAGAGTAATGGGAGTTTTGTGTTACAATCATGGTGGTGGGTATACAACCTACGCTTAGGACAAAATGGCACGAAGTGTATATGCACATTGTACTGGTATTAAGACTCCCGGGTTTCATTGCAGTTACGTGATATAATCACTGGAGGAAACTAGGTGAGAGGTACATAGGACCTCTCTCTCTTACAAATTCCTGTGACTAATTCTTGCAAAATTAAAAGTTAAAATAAAATAACCCAGGGGGCTATAGAGAAGTTAAAAGATCTGGATCTAAAAATCAAGAAACACTGGGCTTGGCTGGGGGTATGACTTAACCAGTGGAATGAAGACTTCAGTTCAAATCCCAATACATCCAAAAAAAGAAAGGAAAGAAAGAAGGGAAGGAGTAAGGAAAGGAGGAAGAAAAGAATAAAAGGAAGAAAAGAAAGAAGAAATGAAAGAAAGAACGGAAGGAAGGAAGGAAATCGTGAACTTCAATCCTAGCTCCCATTGCTCTGCAGGGTAACCTTGGGCAAATTTCTGTCCCTCTTTCCCCTACCCTTTTCTCATCTGTACAGTGTAGACTGTAATAGTGCCTAACTCCTGGAGTTATGGGGATTAATAGATTAATAAATGGAAAACAACTAGAGGCTGGAACATGGTAGGAGCTACATAAATGTAAACTCTGATTCTTATTTTTCTTATCAGATAAAATTTCTTTGCCGGAGGACCCATTTCTGCCTGGACCACAACTATGAACACGGTTTGGGAATGTTTCCATGAGACAGACACATGGTAGTCCCTCAGAGGTAGCCAGAAATAATCTTGGAGGCTGTGCACACATAAGAACCAGAGGTGTGGTTGCTCATCCGCAGGACGCATTCGAGAAGAGCTGGTCATTAGCATTATTATTATTTTCCCTCTGGATTGAGATCTCCAAAAAGATAAACAGTCCTTTGCCTGGAGTGGAAAATAAAATAATGACCACTGGCCTTTGCTGAGCAGCCCACTGTGAGTCACTTAATATATATCACCTTATTGTCTCTTCACTACAACCTCCTGAAGTACGAGTCTTGTTTTCATTTTCTTGCTTATGAAACAGGCTCAGAAAGGCTCCATACCTGTTAGAGGCAGACAAAGGACTCAGCCCACACTCTTCCTAATATTCCATGCTGCCTGTCCACTAGTTAGAACTTAGCTACTTAGAGAGGCTAGTGCCTCCCTTGATAATGTCAGCTGAGGCCATGGCCCTCTGTTGTCTTCAGCATTGAGTCCAAACTTCTGAATTTGGCATTCAAAGACCTTTCACTCATTCCACAAATGGTTGTCAGCACCCAATATTCATCATGTCTTAAATCTGATACTAGGTACACAGGGGTCACCTGTGTCCAAGTGGGTTGATACAAAGTCATGCACCATGATAACTTCAGTTCTTGCAATGAATAAAAGTCCTTGCAATGGTCTATTCCATCATATTTTGTCTAGAGTGCATATGTTGCCTACATGTGAGGATAAGCAGGGAGAAAATATTTTACCCCTTTGGAGCTTGGTCAAGAATAGAAAATCAGGACCAGAGTTATGGCTCAAGTGGTAGAGTGCCTGCCTAGCAAACACAAAGACCTGTGTTCAAATGTTAGTACAGAAAAAAAAAATAGAAAATGAATCCTCAATGTCATATGTAACTTAGATTATGGGTACTGGTATACAAACAGAGGCTGAATTGAGCTTCAGCTACAGAAGCAGGCCTGCTTGTCAATCTCAGGAAACATGCAATCCAGAGGCTCTTCTTCCCCAGTTTGGAATCAATGCTTCTACAACTGACATGTCAACCCTCATCCAGATGAACCCGCTGTCAATGTCTATCCATCCTTGTCACCCCTCAGCCTACACAGCAAAAAGAGATTTGAGGAAGCACTACAGCAGCAAAACCCACATCCCTTTCTGTCACATCCTCTGGAAATCAGGTCCTTCTTCCTCTTCCTTGAGGAAGACAATTTGCATTCAAAACAAGGGTGGGCAGATCTGTACATTTGAGTGGTCAGCCTATTTCAAAGTTTCCTCCAGGAAGGAGGCCACAGCTGCCCCGGAAAGGAGTTTTGAAGGGCCCAAACTAACTCCCAAGGCTTTTGTCAGGGCTTTGCAGCTCACAACACTCAGTGTGACTCAATGCCACCACTCACTGTGTCACCCACATCTGCTTAATATCATTCTTGACGTCCACTCAGCTTGCTCACCAGGAATCAGAAGAACCGCTTATTAATCCCAGCATTGTCTCAAATCTACTTATAGACATAAGCCACCTTTCCTCCTTGAGCCTCAGTTTCCCCATCAGTAAAATGGGAAAGGTTGCCTGAGGGCAATGAAGAATGAAAAGTAGATCAGGGACTTGGGGAATGGTACCTAACTCCCCAAAGAATAATCAGAGTGCTCAATCCCCAGTGCCACAAAAGAAAAGTCTGAAGGAATTTTCAAAATGTCACATTCCCAAACCCCAAGTCCAGAGGTTTAGGCACATGGTTAAATGTCCTCCATAAACTTCTAAAGGCTCAGTGATGAGATCTGAGCCTTTCTTCACCCCAATATCCTTTTACTCCCCAAGGTTGTCTCTGTATGCCCAATACGGAGCACGGAGGAGGTTCTTAATAAACGGTATTAAACAAGCAAGTAGATAATGATTCCTACTAAATTAATTTGGTGGGAGAAGAATGGCTGTGTAGAAGAGGTTAATGCCAGGCCCCAAGTATCAAGAGGTCCTTAGACCTTCCCTCCCCAAACCACCTTCCCCTATGGAGTCTACATGTTTCAAGAACAATTTATCAGAGGAATAAGAAGCAATTTGAGCAAGACCCAGGGTCTCCTCTGCCTCCTTTCCAACAGTGCCAGCTGGAGTCAGATCTCCCTGGCTCAGTGTCCTCTGCAACCGAAATTCCAAAAAGGAACCCAACCCCAATCACTGGAACCTGGTTCAGCCTTTGGCACCCCACCAAATCCACCCATGCTTCCATTCGGAATTCCATCATTTATCTACTCAATCAAACACAAAACACTCACTAAATGCATCTGTGCCCAGCACTCAGCTAAACACCAGGCAGACAGACGTAAATAGCACTGTCACAGCCCCTAAGGAGTTCTCATTTGTGCATGTTTAGGGAATGGGCAGGAAGGGGACAATGACTCAAGGATGGTATAATTGTACAATCACATGGTACATGTCATAACTTCTTCAGAGTGTCACTTTGCAAAGCCATGCAGAACAGTTTTGAGAAAAATAGCTTACAAAGGTGAGATCAAAATCTTGGACAAGAATGCAAATGGAGGCTCATACATCACATGTCTGGCTATTTCAAAGTTATGAATCAAGTAGCAGAAGAGAAAAAAGTAAAATATCTTATACCCCCTTTTATGAAAAGAGCCCTTTGCGATGACCTGAAAAGTTAGATTGGAATTTATAAATCTAGGACTCCTCAGATTTTCATGTGGAAACATGGCACCAAAAGGCAGCTGGCCCAGCCCATAGGTCAACACTCTTTCCCCAATCCCCAGCTCTGCCCACACTGTGAAGATCCTCACATGCACAGATGTGGACACTCCAACCCAAACATCCAAGTTCTGCAAACAGGAGTGTCCCTTGGCACTTCTCCTCCTGCCTAGTCCTGCACCCGGAAGGCTCTGCCCTCCATAGGTGGGGCTTGGGAACATGTCCATGCATTTCCTGGAAACAGGTGCAAGGATTCTTTGGGAGGCAATCTCAGACCCCACTACTCAAAGCAAGGAGGGCGTCATAGGCTCTGAGTGGGCACATTTCTCTTGTCCCAATAACTCCCTATGTGTGCCCCACACATAGGAATTCAGCCAGAGGGAGCCCAGAGGAGGACCTGGATGAGAGGAAGGGTCTCCCTTTCCAGGGTCTGAGAACAGAAATACTGAATTGAAAGCAAATTATGTTCCTGCATGTGAGTGAACTTCTGTCTGTCTCAATGTCATGCACTATGCTTTACAAAGCACACCACATCTTTACCTCACCACAGAAAATGTATTCAGGGACAAACAACCATGTTGGATAAATGAGGCCCTGAGAATAGGATCTAAGGTAGTAAAGCCTGGGAAGGCACCTAGTCCTCTAGCTTCTCCATCGGGATCCTTAAATGTCTTTCCCACGCTAAATTATGCACACAAATGAGACTGGCTTCTGTCTCCCCAGAGTCTAACACAGGTGGAAGACATACTGCACATAGTTCACGAACACCTGAACAAGCCAATGAATATGGCAACAGCTGGTATTTATTGGAAGCTTCCTGTGTGCTGTACACTGGGCTCGACTTATCTCGTTTCATTCCTTCCATAGCCTTGAGTATTAGAAAAATACATTATTCTTGTTTTCCACATAGGGAAGCCAAAGTTCTGAGAGGTTTATACATAGAGTCTACCAGAGGTAAGCAGCAGAGATGAATAAGTAAATGAATCCACAAAAGAACATTTTTTAAAAAAGGAAATATGAACAAATTCATACAGAAATGAGAAAAATTGTGTGCTTTATTTATTTATTTTAGTCCTTGGGAAACTTCTGATCACTGGGGCTATGGACCTGGGTATTAGAAGGAATTTCAGCTGAATCCATTGAAGCACAAGGATTGGGGCTCCCATCAGCCCCTGTCCACCCATGGCTCATTCACCCCCAAATGAACCAACTCTCCCAACCCAAGAATTTTCCTTCTTTCTAGGCACCTGAGATGCCGTTAAGTCTCATGGCTCCCCACAAGTTCTCTCAGTGCCCTTCTGACTCAATATCATCCCATCTGGGGGCCAACAGATGAGGCACCATCTTTAACACAGTAACTGTCACCCCACTACTGTGACCCAGTTCTAGCGACTTCTCTCTACTACCTCTCAACCCCATCCTACCTTCTCCCCACCCTATCCATTTTTGGTTAGCATTCTTTGTGACTGACAGACACAAGGAAGAAATCTGTTAGTTTTAATGAAAGGCACAAACTAACGGACCTAAAGGCAAGTCCTTTCTAACCATGATTTCTCTTTTTCTTCTTTGTTGGGGCTTGTGCGGACATCATAGCAGTGCTCAAGTCAACAATTCCATCAATTGTTATTGGCTGGATTGTTAAATACTGACTAGGGACACAGCACCGCTTGCGATCGGGGCAGCGTATGATGCTGTTTTCATTATCCTTGCACAGCAGCCGGCAGCGTCCATCCATCCAACATTCTCCTTCAGGGCACAGGAACAGCCATTAAACAAATGTTAGTATCACCCAAGTGGAGAGACAAGAGGAGGGGAGGAACCAGAGGACAGGGCAGAAGCAGAGAAAGAGGGCTGAGTAAGCAAGGCTGGACCCAGTCCCAGGAAAAGCAAGGAGAGACCTTGAAGTGGAGAGAACTGGGACAATTGCTCCAACTAGAAATTCTGGCGTTTTCAGGAGAGCCCTTTTCAGACTTCCCTCCCCTCCATCTTCTGTTCCTAGACTTCTTGCTCCTCACTTTGGGACCCAAGGTCCTACCCAGTGGAGCATGGAAATAAGAAGGTTCGCTCGCATTACAACACACCCACCTCCTTATCAATAGTCTTGCCCTGTAAAAGAAGCCTGCCATGTTCCAGTTCCAGCAACAATTCAATCTCCAACCATCCTCAAACTCAAAACCCAGTTAACCCCAACTCAATTTCCCCTGAACCCCAACTCCAAGCCAAACCCAAATCTAATCAAGACAGCCACAATTCCCAACAGCTGCCCATCACCAAACAGAACCCAAGCTCTCTGAACATAAGGCCCTGACTCCCAGTCTCAGCCCAAGCCCAGCCAAATGCCAACACCAGCTCCACTCAAGCTAAAATCCCATCTGCTCTCCAATTTACCAAGACCATCAGGAAATCCCAGGTTCTCACCTCCAACTCATCCTAATATTCCCTCTTAACTCCAACCCCAAGGATCTCCCCCCAGCCCTTCAACCTAATGTCTGAAAGTCCCCAACCTATACCCAATCTTTCTCTTCTAAGCCCTCTCCTAAGCTCCCACCAGAATGTCATCCCTGCTCTGAAGTACCAAATGCTCCAAACATCTATCATTTCACCACTTAGAAAAAAAGAAAAATCATGGAAAGATGCAAACATGGGAATATCCTGGGGAAACTTCCCAAAGCTACATGAAATGAGGAGAGACTCAGATAATGCTCCAGTGGAGAGTAGGGAAGACCCAGTCCAGGATTCCAAACCCTTAAGAGAGCCCAAGTTACCTGACATCACTGGTTCCATTGCCAACAGGATTGCAAGAAACAGGAAAAGGAGCTTCATGGCTGGCAGGACCCAGTGGAAGGTGGTAACTAAGCTGCAGAGAATGCAAACAGAATTCCTTTAACAGGGATGAGCCTTCTTTTATCAGCAGGGTGTGGGCAGTGAATTAGAATGGGAGGGCATTTGTGTGAGATCAGCTAGACCAAAGGACAGTGTGTAGCAGATGTCTCAGCACAGCACAAGATGAGTGTGGGAATCCAGCCAGCACCAAGCCAAAAGTGGCTTTCCCTGCTGGTAAGGACACAGGTGAATTAGAGCCACTTGGCACTGCTCACAATAGGCAAGTCATGGAATCAGCCTACGTGCCCAGCAATAGATGAGTGAATAAAGAAAATGTGGTGTATAATCCACTGTATACACAATAACAAAATTATGTCATTTGCAAGATAATGGATGGAACTAGAGATGATTAGGCGAAGTAAAATAAGTCAGACTCATATGACAAATGTCATATGTATTCTTCCATATGTCTTTAAAAAAAAAAGACATAAAAGCAGAGGGAAACTATTTCAAGAGCGGGGACCAGTGGAAGAGGAAGGAAGTGCAAGTAAATATTATACAAGTCTGAAAATGTCATAATTAAACCCATTATTTTGTGCAATTAATTTTAAAGTAAAAAAAAAGATTGATAAAAATACACTTGATCTTAGCCAAAAGGCCTCGGTGGTGATGATTGATAAAAATAAAAATAAAATAAAATGAAATTAAAAAAAAATAAAAAATAAAAGTCATTTGTCCTTTGAGACCCATGAAAGAATTAATAAATACATGAACACATGACGAGAAACATTTAATTTTTTTAAATGACTTACTCTCAGCTTCCTTTTTTTCATACACATGTGTGTGTTGTTCTGAATATGAACTTGCCAATCTCGTTCCCACTTCTGAGCCTTGGAATTTATCCTTTGTTCTCTCTTTCTCTCTCTGTCTCTCTCTTTCTCTCTCTCTCTGGTGAGACTGGGGTTTGAACTCAGGGCTTCGTACTTGCAAAGCAGTCTACCACTTGAGCCACACCTCCAGTCCATTTTGCTCTGGTTATTTTGGAGATGGGGGTCTCATGAACAATCTGCCTGGGCTGGCTTCAAACTTTGATCCTCCCAATCTCAGCCTCCCAAGTAGCTAGAATTACGGGCATGAGCCCCTGGTGCCCGGCTTCTTTGTTCTCTCTATAAAGCTCTTCCTTCTGATCTTGCCAGGGATGACCATGCTGCCCATTCATCTCGTCTCACAGCTTGCTCAGCACACCACCTGCAGATGCTCTGAATCGTAATAGCTTGTTTTGTGAGCTCCACATATTTATCTAGGCTTTTTATTTACTTTCATGTTTGATCTTTGTTTCTCTCCTTAAATGTCAGAAACTTTAGCTTGTGCTATGGTTTGATAAGGTTCGAATATGTACCCCAAAGTGTCACATACTAGAAATTTGGTGCCCAGTGTGGATACGTTGAAAGGTGGTAGAAACTTTAAGAGGTAGAGCCTAGTGCAAGGTAGCTCAATTATGGAGACTTCACCCTCAGAAGAAATTAGTGTAATTCTTGAGGAACCTTTTCAGTTCCCTGACAAAAATGAGCTTAGCATCTGAATCTCTCTGGCTCCCTGGCTTGCCATGTGGTCTCTCCCACACATGCTCCACCATTGGGCCACTCATCACAAGGCCCTTACCAGAGGAAGAATAGGTGGTGCTGCCTGATCTTGAATTTTGAGTAAATCTCTTTTCTTTATGAAATACCCAACCTCTCGTATTTTGTTCTAGCAACATAAGACAGACTAATGCAGTTTATAATCCTAGTATCCATGGCATCGGCTGTTTATTAAGATACCGATTCAGATGTTTGAACAGATATTGACCCCAAACAATAAGGATTCCAAAGACAAGCACTGATTTTTATTTATTTATTTATTTTTTGGCAGTACTGGAGTCTGAGCTCAGTGATTTTCATTTGCTAAGCAGGTGGTCTACCATCTGAGCCCTTTTATACTTCTAGGTTATTTTTGAGATAAGGTCTCCTTTGCACAGCCTTGGGTCATGACCCTCCTACCTACAGCCTGCTATCTAGCTGTAGCTAGGCTGGGACCACAGACACATTCCACCACACACAGTTTGCTGGTTGAGATGAGGTCTCACTAACTTTTTACCCGGGCTGGCCTTGAACTGCAATCCTCCCAAGTAGCTGGAGATACCACACGTGACCAAATTCTACTTTTTTTTTTTTTTACTGGTACCAGGGTTTGAACTCAGGGCCTTGTACTTGCTATGCAGGCACTCTACCACTTGAGCCATGCCTCCAGTCCTGCTTTCCTTTTTATGTATAAGTCTGTGTACTCAGTTAGGTGTAGATGCTTCACAAAGCAGTAGAGGGCAAGGCTCCTTTTGACTTACTGCTCCATCATCTTCAACAGGCATCTTCATATGACAATGCAAGAGCTGCTCCAGTTCCTGCCATCAAGTACCCAACCCAGCCATAGGAAGGGGAGAGAAGGAAATCGGGGGCAACACCTTTTCCTTTAGTCTCCACTCGGACATCTGGTCAGATTACTAGGTGACAAAGATGAAGACTCCAAAATTATATTAAAAGAAAACTCCAAAAATTAAACACCAAAAGAGATAATCCACTCAATAAATGAGCAAATGAACAGAGTTCTCAAAAGAAGTACAAATGGCCAAAAAATACATGAAAAAATGTTCAACATCCATAGCCATCAGAGACATGAAAACCAAAACTGCATTGAGATTCCATTCCACCCCAGTCAGCATGGCTGTTGTCAAAGAAATAAACAATAAATGCTGGTTCTGAAGATGTGAGGAAAAGGAACCACCAAGAATGGATAAAGAAAGTATCATATACATATGTGCAATGGAGTATTACTCAGCCAAAAAAGAAGAATGAAATTATGTCGTGTGCAGGAAAATGAATGGAACAGAGATCATCATGTTAAATGAAATACACCAGACTCAGACAAATACCACGTTTTCTCTGATATGAGGGATCTAGACCTAAAGATGAATAAACAAACAAAAAGGGACCAGCAGAAAGGAGGAGGGGGACAAGAAAAGGTAACAGGAGTGAATACAATCTAAGTGCATTGTATACATGTATAAAAATGTCATAATGAAACTCATACCCATTATTTTATAAAAATAAATAACTTACATTGAGTTATATATAGACGTGATCCAATGAGAAGGCAACTTAAGTCCTTACTGTCCTGGGACAGTAGAGATTATATATGTCTGGGAGTGTAGCTCAGGGATAGAGCACTTGCACAAGGCCCTGCGGTCAGTCCCTAGCAGAAAGGGAGAGAGAGAGAGAGAGAGCCTTCCAGCCATGCTTCTAGAGAAACTGGTTAAGGGTTGTGCCCCAGACAGAACTTAAACATAAAAAAGAGAATTCATCCCACACCCACTGCACACCAGGCTTGGAGAATGAGTTTGGGTTCCACACTGATTTAGATTGGAGTGTCGACCCTGACTCTTGCTTCCTGTAGACTTGAAGTAAGCTAAAATTCCTGGGCCTCCTACAATGAAATGCAAATCCTAACTGTGTCTAAGGCAATTAAATGGGTAAATTCTGTAAATCGCTTAGCTAAGTACCTGACACATAGCTGGCGAGCCATCATTCATTACTGCTGTTGTTACAGCTATCATCCTCCTACCTAACATTATCACTATGCTCAGAACAATCCTGAGAGTGGAAATCATACCCACACACACCACATACGACAAAACTGAGTACTGCTCGGGGATTCCTAGGTGGAGTGAGACCAGAAAATAGAGAGCAAATTTCCATAGAAGATAAGAAAAACGGTCAGAGGCAGCTGTGGCTATGAATGTTGGAGACAGGAGCAGGTGTAGAAGAGGTGTGCCCTAATGTCCTAATCTTCACATAGAGCCTCAAACTGAGCTGAGGGCTTTGGAATCCATCCTGTAAGCAAGGAGACACTGAAAGACTTTTTTTAGACAGGACCATGGTGGCACAGTCAGATATTTTTTAAGCCTAGAAAATTCACTCTGCTGGTCTGTGCTGAACATGATTTCCGGGTCAGAGACAGGCTGTTTTGAGTCCAGACAAAGTCACAAGGCTTCCATTGTGGCTGCACGCACATGGGCATACAGGATGTTAGAGAAGAAAAACATCACGGAAGTCTGGATCCCTCAGAGCAGACCCCACAACTGAGGCAGGCTAGAAGTAGGGAAAGTTCGGGACTCATATGCAGGCTGCCCAGATAGCCCCCACCTGGCCAGGGAATGGCCCACGCCCCTCCCCACTCATCAATTATTGGATGGGAATCACCTGGTTCCTCCTTTCCCATAGATTAGTGTAAGTTTTAAAAGCATCTGAGAAGAAAAACACTCTCTCAGCCTCCAGACTCCACCTGGGTCCACCATGCTCCCTTTTGCATTTCCCTTCCCTAACATTTAATAAACTCCCTTTCATACCCACGTGTCCTGCCATGGATTCTTCCCAGTGGAACACAAAGAATTTGGAAGTCTTCTGATCACAGACTGCACCAGTGCTGTTAACACAACCACAGCCCTCAGCTAGGGAGCACAGCCCCTCTGCTCGCTTTGTGACAGGTACCTCACCTGTATGGTCTCATTTCATCCTTGTAACAACCAGAGAGGTTTGGGTGCTTCCCCCCTGCCAACTTCACTGGCAAACATTTTATCCAAGGAGTCACATGGGAGTCCAGGATTGGAACACAGGTCTGACTGACTCCCAAATATCACCCTTCCAATGATAGCACTCTGTATTCTGTTGGGATAGCAGGGGTCCCAGCTAAGTGAGGGGCCAAATGGAAAAAAGCCTCCATCCATTCTCACCTGGAAGAACTTAAACGTCTCTGCAACAAAAAAGGTTAGAGTGAGATAAGAAAAACACTTACTTGTAGCCTTCATTTTTTGGCAGTGTTAAGGTTTGAACTCAGGACCTCACACTTGCTAGACAGGCACACTACCACTTGAGTCATGCCCCAGCCCAAATGAAGAGTTACAGGGGATT